TTGGCGTGGACACAGGTTTCCCTCCAAGCAATCCCGCTTCAGCTATGATGTCCAACGCATACTTCCGTTGACACAAGAAAATTCCCGTAGGAGATCCGGCAACCTCCACCCCAAGAAAGTATTTTAATTTCCCTAAGTCCTTCATATGAAAACATTGATGAAGATAATCTTTGAATTGCGCAATGTCTTCATGATGATTGCCAGCAATGACTAGGTCATCCACGTAAACTAACACAACCAGCTCGACATCTCCTTTGCGAAAGATGAACAAGGAGTGATCGACGAAGAACGTTGAAATCCATATTGAACAAGAGCAAGTTGAGAGCTTGGCAAACCAACACCGAGGAGCTTGACGAAGACCATAAAGGGACTTGCGGAGACGACACACCATACCCTTTTGAGACACCAAGAACCCCGGCGGCATTTTCATGTACACAGCCTTCCTCAAGATCGCCGTGCGTAAAAGCATTATGGACATCCATTTGATGGAGTTCCCGCCTTTGGCCGCCGCCACCGCCAACACCGTCCGAATGGTGACCATCTTTGCCACTGGGCAAAGGTCTCGTCATAGTCAATCCCCTCAACTTGGTGATTTCCCAAGACAACTAATCGGGCTTTGAAGCGTTCAACGCTCCCATCGAATGATATTTGATTTTATAAATCCACTTGCAACCCGGAGGCTTCTTCCCCGCCGGTAGAGGAGTAATGTCCCATGTTTCATTACTTTGGAGGGCCTCGAATTTCACTAGCCATGGCATCTCTCCATCTAACATCCCGAACAGCCTTCAAAGAAATGCACAGTGTTCTCGCTCCGCATGAAGGGCTCGCAAGAAAGGTTCGGTGGGGGAAGGAGAATTTAGCACAATTTAAGTACTTTGTCAAACCGTAAGGCATACCCGAGGAAGCCGAATGTGGAGTGCGAATTGAGGGACCGAGTTGTAAAGTGGTGTTAGTGACATAATCACGAAGCTTCACAGTATGGCTTTCGTACACGAAGACCTTTCCCCGTGGATGCAGTGGACAAGTATGCTCCTCAGGAACCTCTAGTTCCGTCATCATAGAGTCAGCTTTGTTCCGGTGGGAGAACGATCCGGGTGGGAGGCTCTTGTTCATGGCATTCAGCCGTGACCCTCCCCGAACTCGGCTATGGGCACATCTTCTCGTTGTGGGGTTAACGTCATCGGCCTCCACAACGTGTTCTCGCATTGTTCATTGCACCAAGTCCAGGCAATGCTTCCTCGACAATGCCAACATCAACAGCAGGCAATCCTACCTCTGAATGTCTACTCGTGGGCAAGAGAGGCAAACTGGAATTCATGTTCTACAAACTTAACATCTCTCGAAGTCCGAAGACTTCTCTTTCCAGCATCAAACAATTTCCAGCCCTTTTGTCCGATTGAATATCCAACAAATACATTCTTGCGACTTCTACTTGCAAATTTGTCACCTTTCCTATCTTGGTTATGTGCATAACACAAGCATCCAAATACCCGTAGATGGTCATAAGTGGGTGGCTTCCCATTCAATATTTCATATGGAGTTTTTCCATGGAGAACGGTTGAGGGTGTACGATTGATCAAGTATCCTCGCGGTCAAAATGCATTCTCCCTGAATTGAAGTGGAAGTTCTCCCCGAAATCGTAGAGCACGAGCTACATTTAGGATGTGTCGATGTTTTCGTTCGGCTCTCCCATTTTGCCGAGGTGTTCCAAGTGCATGAGGTTTGATGGAGTATCCCATGTTGCTCGAAAATATCGTTGAAGACACATAAACTCGCTTCCATTGTCACTTCGTAATATTTTGACTTGTTTCTCGTATTGTCGTTCTATTAAAGCGATGAAATGCTTTAAGGTTTGTGACACATCTTTCTTATTATTCAAGAGATATATCCACACAGCTCGAGAACAGCTCATCAACCAAAGTGAGAAAGTAAGATGCACCACAAGACGAGGGAGTTCTATATGGACCCCATAAATCATAATGTATTAAATCAAATATATTGGATGCTTGAAAATCACTTAAAGGAAATGTGTTTCTACATTGCTTTGATCTCTCACACACTTCACACACCCGAGTTGTATCCGTATTTCTATTCACGCTCGTTCGGATGCGGAATTTTTCTAACAATCTGGTAGGCAGGATGTCCCATTCGCTTGTGCCAAATCTCTAGTTGATTTTCTCGCATTGGTCCGATACGCCTTTATGCCACTCACACCACGATACCAATAGAGTCCCTCTTTTCGTTCACCCGCTCCAATCAGCATCCTCGAAGTGTGGTCCCGCATTGCACAAAATCTATCGAGAAATGTACCGTACATTTTACTTCATTCGTCAATTGTGAGACCGAAATCAAATTGCAATTCAATTTCGAACATATAGAACATGTTTAAGTTTCAGTCCTCCATCAAGGAAAACTGATCCTTCTTTGTTTGCCAGCACCAATTCACCATTTGGTAGTCCCACCGGGCACCCTTCCAAGGCTCGACTCTCCCTCAAGTTTTCTAGTGTTCCCGTCATATGATTAGAGGCGCCACTATCAATAATCCACAAGTCACATGCTTTCTTACCAGCTCATCTTTTCAGCTTCATTTGCCTTGCGAGAATTCAACATTCGTTGTCAAGATCCGCCATTGCTCATTACTCGCTCCCGCTACTTCCGGTTTTTCGGTTGAACCAACGTTATCCGCACCGATGTGCGCCATATTGACGCGAGTCGTTCCTCCTTTCCCTCGGAAGGTTCCTCGTTCTTTGTTGATTTTTTCCATCGTTTCTATCGGTTCGTGGTCTCTCTCCCCACCATTCCGGGTAACCAATGATCTCGAAGCAATTGCCTTTGTCATGTCCCTTCCTTCCACACCGCATGCAAACAACCGATTTCTCTTTCGCTTCATTGCGCAACTTGTTCCCGGTTTCCGCTCGCATAGCCATTCCCACGATCATTCCTCGCTCTTCTTTAGACCCGGTGATTGTTCTCACCCTTTCTTCTTGCACCATGGTGGCATACACCCGATTCAACGAGGGTAATGGATCTCGTTGCCAAAACATTTGACCGTGCAGTTCCATAGCCCTCATCATCTAGCCCCATCAAGAACCGATGAATTTTTTCTTCTTCTCTTCGTTTCTCAAGTTTCGTCATAATATTACAATTGCATCCCCCACATCTACACCGTGGGATTTGCTCGTAATTTGCCAGCTCATCCCACAACGTTTTCAACTTCCCATAATAGGAAACCATAGTTATTCCTTGTTGTTTGCATTCCGCCAACTCGACTTTAGCCGCTGGATTCTTGGTCCGTTCACGATCGAGAATCGTTCCTTGATGTCATCCCATAGGTCCTTTGCGTTTTCCATGTATGCAACAAGTGGAACGCAAACTAGGTTCTATAGAGTTTAGTATCCAAGATACAAGCATCGATTGAATTGTCCACCAATCTTCTATCTCAGATGTGTCTTCTTCAGGTTTCTTATGAGTTCCATCTATGAAACCCCATTTCCTTCGAGCCCGCAGAGATATCTTCACGGCCCTTGCCCATTCCTCGTAATTCTCTCCTCGTAATTGTACCTGTGTAATTACATTTCCAGGATTATCACTGGCACTTAGATCGTATGGCGATGGTGTTTTCTTCACCGCCTCTCCTTTCTCTGCCATTTTAGAAGTACGACTGTGTTCTCGGGCTGTTGGATATCAGAGTTTGGTTCGCTCTGATACCATGATAAAAATATTTCTGAAAACCCCTGCCTTGTATTGAATATGATAGCACAATATATACATGAAATACAGAAACATTCTAGGCTATAATTACGCTAACCATTATAGTCGGTATCCTAAATTTGTCTATTAACAGATATGAAATTAATGTGCATCGCTGTCATGCCAAGCTAAATATGGAAAAAAATAATCATGTAGAATCATGGCATGATACGGTATTTGTAATCGTATATTCTATGTATATTCTATGTTTATCACTTGGTACATATGATTTATATCCACCAGCTTGAGGTGTTAGATATTGTTAGTCACAATATCTTATAATTACCATATTTATGTATATTTGCTATATTTTCCTGTATTACTCTTCATTATAAATATATTACCCTATTGTATTTTACACACAAGAGAGATTAACCCTATATCTAATTTTCACTATATTCAACAGTGGGGTATTCATTTGGTTTTACTCTCTCGAGTATATGTTTAAGTGATTTACTAATATGATTCTCTCAAATGGTTTACTCATTTGATTTAATCTAATTTGTCTGAACTATGTAGTGATCAACTCGACTGTCTAGGCCAACTCATTTAATGGTTAGCTCAAATATTTTGCTAGAATGGTATACCTATGTGAATTTTTCAAGTGGAGTATGTATCTAGTCTCACTCGTTTGATTGGTGACCAAACTAATTCACCAGGTCAGTTTTCTTTCTCTTTACTAATCAACCTGACTTCTCGTTACAAAACAACTATGTATAATTCATGTTTAGAAAAGAAAATAATGTAATTTAAATGGAAATCTTAAATATTAAACTTTTAATATTGGACTTTTATTGAATAATACAATATTTATGTTCTACCAACTCTTTGTTTGTCAAGAAGAGACACTTATATATACAAATACATGAGACATATCCTATTTTGTTAATTGTTCCTCTATGATTGTTTCAATTATTAGGTATCTTTGAAACAGGGGGTTTGAGTGGAGGATGAGCAAAAGCACCCTCAATTAATCCCTTTGCTATTAGTCTATATGCTGCTTCAGTGAAATGAAATCCATCCCAATTTATATGTTTTGAAGGATGTTCACAAGGTTTTGCATCACCAAATCCACATCGCCCATGGAGACGGTATCCTTCACCTACTCCACAACATACTCTAAAGGTGTCGATTTTACCGGAAGGAAAGCCTGCAGTACATAAATTAACGAATATAATAAGAATAAAGTCTAACAAAATTTGCACTCACATGTATCTATTTATTTATTATTCAGCTAATTAAAAAAAGTACTACTCACCATATTTTTGTGGCGCTTGAAATAAACGTTTGGCAGATCCATAGTAATCAAAATATGTTATTTTAACATTTGGGTTATTTTTTCTCAATGTCTCTATAGCTTGTTTGAGTTGCTCATTATAGTTTTTTATGATAGCATTGTAAGATACCAAGCAGCCAAATTGATCATAGTCGTCTTTCTTATCACTATTCATTGTATTCAAAACAAATGAATTGCATCCGATAGGAAAGTTTCCGGGAACCACTATCTCAACTGCCCCTTCTTTGATTATTTTCTGTTGAATAAAAATAAAAATATAATCAAATTTCTAATAAATCATATTTAAATCAAGTTGAAATAAACTATTGAAATGTAATAATTTAACACAACATACGGAGGTGAGTTTGGCAATTATGTCAACAATGTGTGGAATAAATTCTCGAATTTCGGTAATATTTTTATTTGGGATAATTGCATTAATGTCATTCCCACCAATCTCACCCACCAAAAATAATGAATTTTTCATGTAACTATCACACTCTGTCATAAGAAGGAACAACATTGTTAGTCATTGAAAAAAATAAAAAACTTTGTAAAAATGTTATTAAAGGATATTTAGTAAAACCTGTTTTGTTTTTACAAAGCGAGGGTTTGAGTTTATTAAACCAATCAATTTGAGTACTCAATGAATAAGCAGCCGCCTTTACGTCGAGTCCTCTCTTATCGAAAAAACTTTTATCAAGTGCAGTTGAACCAGAATATGCAAAATTTACTCCTCTTTTAATGTCTTGTCCTTTTGTGAGATTCAAATAGGCTGGCAACATTGGTAGCCCATATGCCTCAGCTAAAATGAAAATCATCGTATGTTAGTAAAATTAACATTGTGTGATTCTTAGGATATATTGTCATATCCTCCCTTTTTTTTACATTTAGTCAATATTGTTTAAGTCATCTGGTAAGAGAGTATAAATACCTATGAAGTCTATGATTAATCGTCCATCTGACAAACGTCCAGCAGGATGTTTAAAGTATGTTAAACCATAAGGAGAATCAGATGGAAATGGTTCATGAAAAGCAGCATTTCCGGTGTCACTTATAGAGTCACCAAAGTTGAAAATCGCTTCATATGGAAGAGAATTGTTGTGTGAAACAACATTTCTAAGGAAACCAAAAGCAAAGATTATGGAAAAGAGAATGGAGATCTTCAACATATTTTTTTAAGCTATGATAACAAAGCTTTTCTGTGTTTTTCTGTATTGAAAGTTTCATTTTAAGAGATTTATATACTGTCACACCGACCATCCATTTGTCTTGTAATATATTTGTTATTTTAATTTTGGCAAACTATAATTTTGATAGTTCTTAAAACAGTGTATCACAAGTTCTAATATAAGATATCGAAACCAAAACATGTTCTCTACATGCTATTTTTTTGTTGTTGTATTGAATTTTTCTACTGTTTTCATCCACACAATTAAATCTATATAATGGGATCATAAATGCAAACATGATAAAATTGTTATATATGTAAATATGAAATTAGTCTTCATCCTTCACTAAATTACTTTTAGTGTTGCAAATATGTTTTGAAACAACAATTTCTTTTAAATACATTTTTTAGGAACGAAATTATTATCATGTTGGTATTCGAATACCAACATTGGTAGGATGTCAAAGTTCTATGGTAATATTTTGTTAGAATATGTCATCTTTTATATCATGATGGTATATGGTAAACTTATGATGTGTAATTACAAGCTTTCTAATATAGTTTTTATCATTATAAAACATAGACATTCATTAATATGCTTTAATATGAATGTGTTTTTATAATGTATTGATTACAATTAACACTTTCTTTTTAATGTACAATAAACAATTGGTGTGCTTATTAGAAAGAGATTGCTATATAAATAAAGTAGTACTTACAAACATACTTATACAAAAAATAATAGGAAAAGTGAGAAGTGCAAATAAAAAAAATAAAAAAGAAATAAAGTTGAAACCTCGAGGAATGAGAAATAGAACCAGCGATATATAAAATTATATAGTAAAATTAGAAGCCATAACTTTTTTTTTCCTAGCTTTAAGGACAAAAATGTGATTCACATAAGACAATACATACATTAGATATAGTTATATGATAAGGACATGACTATGAGCAAGGGCAAAAACCTACTTGAAATATTTGGAGGACCTATGACAAAGGCTAAAACAAGATAAATAAAGGAAGTTCTTCAATAAATATTCATATTATTTGAATACAAGTCCACGTTTCAAGGTGAAAAGACCAAAGTTTCGAATTGCATCATGGCCCATATGGAGGAAGACTAATACGAATCTTTAAGTTTGTTTAAATAATGGTTCAATCCTTTGTAAAATTGATTAACCAAATTATGTTTTGAGTTAATCAATTAATGAGTTTTAGTTTGATTTTGTTACTTCTATTGATGATTATTTCAGAAATACTTGGTTGTTTCTAATGAAAAATCGTTCTGAGTTATTTTCTATATTCCAATCCTTTTAATGAAATTAAAACTCAGTTTCAGATTTCTATTGGAACTTTATGAAGTGATAATGGTCGTGAATACCTTTCCCATTCTTTTAAATATTTTATGGCTTCTCATGACATTTTACATCAAACTTCATGTGTTTATCCACCTCAACAAAATGGGGTGGTTAAGCACAATAATAGACATCTTGTTGAAATAACTCACACTCTTTTAATCCATAGTGAGGTTCTCAACATTTTTAGGGTGATGTTGTTCTTACTACATGTTATCTTCGGTTTTAAATAACAAAATTTCTCATTCTCTTTTATTTCCTCATGAATCTCTACATCCTTTATATCTTAAAGTTTTTTGGTCTACATGTTTTGTTCATAATTTTGATCTTGGTCTTGATAAGTTATCTCCTAGATCACACAAATGTGTTTTTTTTTAGGATTTATTCGATCATAAAAAGGATATAAGTGTTTCTCTCCTTCTCTTAACCATTATTTTCTTTCTACATATGTTACCTTTAATGAGTCTTCCTTTTACTTTAAGTGTCCTTCTTCTCCATGTATGTCTTTGTCTACTACAGTTAATATTCTTGATGTGTGTGATTCTCCTATTGTGCCTAATCCACCTTTGGGTTTATAATCAAAGAAACAATCTCAACAACCACCAAATGATTCACTTCTAGTATAAACTCTTTGTTCTCCTCTAGCTCCAACAACTAAGTTTGACCTTCCAATTGTCCTCATTAAAAGTATACGTTCTACCCAAAATCTCTCTTCTCATTATACTACTTTGAGTTACCATAGATTATCTCCACATTTTTATACCTGCCTTTCATTTATCTCTTTTGTGTCAATTACCAAATTCGTAAGTGATGCCTTACCCATCTTATTTGGTGTCAAGTCATACTTGATGAACTGAGTGCTCTTCAGAATAATGGAACTTGGGATCTCGTCCCATTATCGTCTAAGAAATCTGTTATTGGTTATAGGTGAATATTTGCTATCAAAGTTGGCTCTAATGGTACTATTGACCGTCTCAAAACTTATCTTGTGGCCAAATGTTACACACAAATTTTTAGTTTGGACTATGGTGATACTTTTTTCCATTGGCAAAGATGATTTTTGTTCGCTTATTCATAATCATGGTTTCTCTTCAACAATTGTCTCTTTACCAATCGAATGTCAAAAATGTTTTTCGTAATGAAGATTTGTAGAAAGAAATTTATATGGAGCAACTTCCAGATTTTATTAGAAAGAGATTGATGTGTAACTAAAGTAGTACTTAAAAACATACCTATAAAAAAATAATAGGAAAAGTGAGAACTGCAAATAAAAAATAAATAAAGTTGAAACCCCATGGAATGGGAAATAAAGCCAGCGATAAAAAATTTTTTTACAATAAAATTAGAAACCATAACTTTTTTTTTCTATCTTTAATAACAAAATTGTGATTCAGAAGAGACAATAACTTATATATGGTTATATGATGTTAACAAAGTGTACTTGAGGTAGAAATGTTGTTATGTTTGGTGTATAGTGAAATAGGTGATGAATGCATAGAATAACATGATAAAAGACAGAGACTTGAAGCTAGAATAAAAATTTATATTTCTTTGTATTGAGCCTTTACCCTTTTAATTTTTTTCTATGTTTATTTTAATTAGAAACTCCTTTACCATTAGTTTCTTTAGGCTAATTAGATTACTTAGGCTAATTAGATGACTTGTTGGATAAGCATGAGTAGTGAATGGGTCTAATAATCTTAGGTGCATAGTATAATAGTTTTCTCACTTTGTAAGACATTGAAGCAATTCTCTCTAGGTTCTTTTGAAGAACTTTTTTTACTTATCAATCTTAAGGTGACGAATTTCCAATTTTCAATTTGTAGTTATAAATCTTCAATTTGTACTTATAAATCTTATTTCACTTATCCATGTTGATTATCGCATTTTTGGTGTATCAATCAATTTTGTGGCATCTTCTTCGTTATTAATCTTCGTACGCATTTATATTTTCTTTAATTATTCAATGGAAATTGTACAAAATATTCTATTTGTGAATACATAATTTGATCTCTATCATTTGGTATTCAAAGAATTATTAGTCCTTCAAAAGAAAAAAACATTTGGTTTAACGTGAAACATCAATAAAAATTTTAATTGCATTATAAAAGTACATTTCCATAGCTAAATCTATATCAACATTGGTCTCCAATAGGATTTCTGTCATAAGTAAGTACATTGTCACGTATTTCTGTAATTAAATTCATAACTAATTCTATTTGCATTTTTATTCATGTATTTGAAGTGTTTAGTGTATTAAATCTTGGTAAATCATGTTTACTGAATGATATAATGGATTTTGTAAAAATTAGCATTTCAAGATGAAGGAATTAATTGAACATGATTGCCTCGTCTACTTTCTTATTTTAGAGTCATACGTTCCTCTGTTAGTTTTTTTGGTTTCATAAATTCTTGATAGTTGAATACTATTTGAATTAATTTCAAGTTTAACTTGCTAGTAGTTTGAATTAATTGATTGACTCCAAATATAGAGATAAAGTGTTTAAACTTTGTTTGTGAATCATATGTTAATGTTGTATTTAACAAAGATTATAAGAAAATAAGAAGCACTTGAAAAGTAATAAGAATTTACAAACCGTGAAGTATAAAAAAATTAGAAGAAAATTGTTAAATGTAAAAATTCAAAATTATTTCAATCTTGGATGCAATATTGATTGTTGATTCTATTGGTTTCACGAATTGATCTTAACATTTTGCATGTCTTTATCTTCTCACTTATGTTGAATTTGAATATTGATTTAATTATGATCAAATAATTTCTAGTAGTAATTCTAAATTCCTTGTTTAGGTTATTTGCTAATCTTTTGTTAATCTTTTAAAAGTGTTGTTCTCTTTCACTTAATTTTTAGTTTTCGTCTTATATTCTATTCTCTTTTGGTTTAGACTTTTTTTTTTTTTAATTCTGTACCTTTTAGTTTGTATTCGAATTTCCATTTTCACTTGAAACTTTTTACCTAGACTTGCATTGTAAAATGGGTTTTCTACGTTATCTTATTTTTGTGGAATTACAAAATAATCGACTTGGAAAAAAAATGCAATGGTAGTTTCAAAAATAATAGTGCGAGTTTGTACGTCGGACTTCGTAAAGACTGACGCAAAAATAATTTTTTATGTTGAGTGACTTCTTAACTGACGTAAAAAGTGAATTTTACATCAGCATCCAACGTAAAACTTGCATTTTATTCTCACCCAAGGTCATTTCTTTCTCGCACAGGTGAGGGTTTTTTAGATAACCACGGTGACAATGACCACTGCAACACCTCCAAGAGTTTTTTTTTTACCACGGTGATGTTTATCTCTTATTGGATTCAAGTTTTAAAGTGTCTTGTGTATCTTTGAGGTTAATGTTCTATGTCTTTAGTTTTATGTTTAAATTGAACCCACACTTGTTTTTGGGATCTCAATCATGATATTGTATGAAGTCTATACTGCATTGTTATTGAAATTGAGTTGTTATTGTTTGTGATTGTTTGTTTATTCGTTTGAGTGCTTATACGATTTATACCCTACATTATTATGTTTTCATGATTTATTTTTTTGAGCCCCACATTTTTTGTTGTTTGTATATTATTTTTTATTTAAATATGAATGTTTGATTCTCTAGGAGTAACAAAATTTATAACAT